ACACACACACACACACACACACACACACACACACACACACACACACAAAGACAGTGCTGCCCTTAGTAATGCCAGACCCCAACTGCAGTTTCTGTCGTTTGGGGCAATGATGACTAAATGACCCCATCATTCCGCTCAGCATATGATCAGAAAAACGTCATCATAAATTATTACACATTGTACTTGCTGTTTGATAAGACAATCTCTCGTACCTATTAATACCTCAAATCAGGGTTTATTGACACATTCCTTGCTTGCCTAAGGTAAACAAGGCATGCGCTTATTAATGCTTACCCCTTTTGGCATGAATGAAATTTTGAATAAGTGTAACAAACAGCAACTTGACTTGATGCCTATTGTACTCTGGTATTTCTTACGAATGTGCCTTTTTAGATAGCTAGCCATTGTTAACATCTCCTAAAATTGAAAACATCCCCTTCTCTAGATTGTACCCTTAAGTAAACAATATTTAATCTTGCCTTATTCGTCTGTGACCTAACATTTTTCCCCTTTGATAATAGAAACAGCAGGAAACATTAATTTCCAAGGCCCTGAAGCATACCCCCAATTCATTCTTAACAGAATGAATTGAAAAATCGAAAACAATAAGTAACAGAAAAAGTATAAACACAAATACGGGCTAAATGAACCAGAGCCCAAGTTTAGGAATACTGCTGCAATTTTCATTTTAAAGCCATTAAATCATTCAACAAAACACAGAACTCAAATTGGTGTATTAGAAACACACACACACACACACACACACACACAACACACTATTTACCACAGGAAAAAGGGTAACTATGAAGCTCAGGTTCTTTGGCTGCAGCTTCATGTAATTGCTAGTGGCCTAGGGTCCAGCATTAGAAACAGATTGATAGTCAACCCTTAGGAGGTGTGTGACCTTGACCGACTGTGAAATGTTAACAATGATACAATATTGTCTACTCCCTCCAGGCTGCAATTAAGATTAAGTGAAATAATGAGAGGACCACTTCCCAATTGCTGGACTTTTGATAACTAACTGCCAAGAGTCTTAATGGTAACGTGGAAGATGCGGGGGAGGGGAGTGAAATAAAAAGCTTTGATAAGTGACAACGGCGATTTATGTGGAAGTCCTTTGTCATTAAAAAAAAAAAAGACACAGGTGACAACAGAAAGGAACAGGTAAGTCTCTCTTAGGACTCAAAAAGGCTTTTTGGAGATAAGAGTGAAAAGAGCCTCCTGTGATTTTGGCACCTGGACCCTGACCCTGCAGCTGCCGCCTGACCAGGCAGGCCTGGACAGCTGGCTGACCACATCTCTCCTGGATTCTGGTCACAGCTGCGTTCACTGAGCAGGTAAGATGTAAGGTGCCAACTCCAAGCCTTTACCTCCTCTCTGGAGCGAAGGTGGGCTTCTGTTTAGGAACAGAATCTATGGGAGATGCCTTAAGAATTGAAAGTTTGGAGGCTGTGTGATGTAGGTGGGCGGGTCTCTCTGAATTTGAGGTCACCTTGGTCTACAGAGCGAGTTCCAGGGCAGCCAGCTGTGCATAATGAGATTCTATGTCAAATGAAAGAATAAATAAAAATGTGAGCTGTTATTTTATCTCATTTTATTCAGTTGTTTTACTTTATTTTTCCAACAAGGAGCCCCTTTCAATTGAGCTTTTCTGAGAAATTAACATGGCTATTCCTTC